TGTGTGTGTGTGTGTGTGTGTGTGTGTGAGAGAGAGAGAGAGAGAGAGAGAGAGAGAGAGAGAGAGAGAGAGAGAGAGAGAGAGAGGGTAGGATTTCATGTTTGCTATGTTATCACTGTTATGTTGTTTCGTCCTTCGGGACATCTGTTAAAATAGGAATGATACAGAGAAGGAAGATTAGCATGGCCACTGCGCAAGGATGACACGCATAAATCGAGAAAAAGGGTCCAAATTTTTATGTTGTTTGGCGATGTCTGCAGTTGGTGCCATTTCTCCTTGTTGACTTCTATTATTCTATATCCATTTTTTTTATTTTTTTTTTCCATATTGACTTCTGTCGAGTTCCTGGGTAGCACGGCGTAAGTGAATGTGGGTTGTGCGCACATGTGTACACGTATTCCGGTACGCGACACTTACGCGCGTACACGTACTCCCGTACGTGGGAATACGTAAAAAAACAACCAAACAAACAAACAAACAGATCGAAAAAATGATAAAATATTAAAATCTGAAAAAAAAAGTATGGTATGCAAAATGATATTTCAAACAAGTTTTGCCCGAGACCCATCTGAAAATTCTGTACCAAACTCGAGTTAAAATCTAAAAACACAAAAAAATAATAAATTGAAATAATTATTAAAAAAAGCAAGAAAAAAAAAAACAACAAAAATGAAAACAAAATTCTGTAACAAATATATGTTATGCAGAATCATGATACAAACGCCTGGGAGTCATCCCCGAATTCCCAACCAAACTCGAGTAAAAAATAAAAAAACTGAAAAAAAACTGAAAAAAAAAAGTATGTTGTACGTACAACAAAATTCATATTTCCAAATTCACATTTAGGTCAGCAGTCATATCCATTCAATGCTCTTTTTTTTTTTCCCCTTTTTTTTCTTTTTTGGTCAATCAAGCCTTCTCTGGTCCGTCTTTCTTCTCAGTCTCTATCCTTCCGTCTTGCGCCAAAAGTGCAGCATAGTCTTCGTAGTAAATTACACCCGTGTCCTTGTCGGCCGCCACAGATAAAGCTGCCTCCATTTCTTCAGGAGAGAAGATTTCTCCTTTGGTTGTCATGATCTCCTGTTTTGTTTTTTTTTTTTTTTTTTTTTTTTTTTTTTTTTTTTTCACCGTCAAAACATAAGAAAAAATTAGTCGTTGAACTGTTGAACATGATTATCAGATATAACTTGAGAAACACCGTAAGAGGATGCATACGGCAGAGATTTCACGGATTCGGTGCCTTGGCAGACCACTGTCGAAACAAAAAAAGAAACTTTAAAAAAGTACATGCCAAGATGCATCCGTTACTATTAAATTATGAATAGTACGTTTAAAAAAAAAATAAAAAAAATGGAAACGAATGAATCATGCCACTCTCTGTCTGAACGTGCAACCACACGTTTTTCGCTTCGATGGTGGTGTGCCAAGGCCCTTAATATTCCACTCCAGTCTTTGACATAAGCAGATGCTGATGCCATCCATTTGGAGATGATGCACCTGGCATGCAATACTGGCGAAGTACACTTCAAAGAAGCTCAATAATGCAGTTCTTTTTTCCTTCCCTCTCCTTGAAAAGTGAGGTCAGTAATGCAAGTTCAGTTTCCCAGCTCCCTAGCTTTTACCAAGGACCTAGTCCCACTTGCCCTGATTATTATTCTCTTTTTTTTTTTTTTTTTTTTTTTTTTTTTTGAAGTAAGCTACATCCTTCTCTCAATTTCACCTCACACTACCTACTACTACTTGTAATTATAGTCATACGGGGGAACCCGTAGCAGCCAGAACCGTGTTCAGGAGAGAACATGCGGGGGCTGCTCCCGACCTGCAGGTGGGCGATACCGGCCAGGGGACAGCCGGTAGCATCAGGGACCATGCCAACCGAACCAATCCCTGTGCCTCCCCTCAGGTGGTGGTCCCCACCCCTAGGAACATCAGCAGACTCTGCTCAATGCCGATCGAGGGGATCCAGTGGTCTATCCCTAGGTCGCAGGCACCAAGCATGCCTAGGAAGGTACATGAGCCCAATGGGGATTGAACCCACGACTTGAATGCCACTTGCAAGCCTTACCAACTGAGCTAGGCCGCTGGATGAGCCGTTGATCTTCATACTCGAAGGTCAGAAATGAAGAATCATGGTCGGTAGGACCTGTCCCCAGGGCCCAGACATTTCTTTTCTTTTCTTTTCTTTTCTTTTCTTTTTTTTCCAGGGGGGGGGGAGAGGTTGGTTGGGTGCCCAGACCTTTCGGACAGACTGAGGGTATTGGGCACTTTGGAGGAAGTGCTGCACATACACCATTGAGGGAGTTGGCATGGAAGGAGAAGTAACAGAAATAATTAAACAGTATATACAGCAAGAGAAAAAAAAAAAAAAAAGACATATCACTGAAAGAAAGACATCACACAAGCAATCAATCAATTCTCAGGGGACTGGCTGGGTAGCGAAAAAGGGGGCTGGATTGCCTATATCCGATGGGAGGGTGGACAGTCTCCCGGGCAGGAGCAGGTAGACTTCAGCAGAGACTACTGCATCTGCTTCAAGGAATGGACTAAAGCGGACCAAGGAGTGCCGTTGTGAACACCCGCAGAGTTCCCGGACCCGTTCCCTCCCCATTAACTGCGTTGGCGGATATGCAACGGTACGGTGCAGAATAAGCGAAGCTTGGAGTTCTGTAATGCAGATTGAAGAGCCTTTTTTAGGGTTTAGATTGAAAAGGGGTTTTTAGTGAAACCAACAGAGTTCAACAGTCGCAGTTTGCTCTAGAGACACATGCAATAACTGACAGCCATGCAGCTGAGAGGAGCAACCAGTGACGGATTAGGCATACAAAGCCATACAAAAGACTAGCTACAACAGGCTAACTTAGGCAGGGGTGAGCGGTGGTACATCCTTCCTACTGGAAGTAATCAACGCCGTCCGCTCGGGCCTCTCAACCATAATGGGGAGGAGCGTGGGGTGAGTCAACCTTGTACTATTCATTGACTTGCCGGGGGAATAGGAACCGGACTGTCGCTCCGCAGAATGGCAGGAGCCAGAACCAAGAGGCTCTGTTAAAAAAAAAAAAAAAAAAAAAAAAAAAAAAAAGGTTCACAGTAGCACTTTCACAGGAATTATATGATAGCTTTTCCGACATCGCCAGGATGCACCTAACCGGTAATACGTCCAGGGAGAAGGGGAAAAAGTTGTACTGTGAGTATGCCTTGAGCTTGGGAACTTGTCTGATGTCCATGTTAAACTCGCCATAACCGTGCAGCAAACTTGAGTCTGAAACGAACAGATGAAGGGGCGAGGGTGAGTGGAGTTTTGTCGGCAATCGGGTAAGAATTTTGAAAATGGAAGGGTGGGCTGTTGGTATAGAGCAAAGAACTACAATGAAGTGTGGGAGGAGGGGAACAGGTGGAGATATATGAGCTTCCAAGCCTGTCCTAGGTCTACTAGGGGAGGCTGCTCCTATCACCTTCCCTAACAGATCTACACTGGCTTCAAAAAAAAAAAAAAAAGCTTGTATACCTGTCAGATACAGAAGAGGGTTCTCGTCAATGGCATGCTGCACGATGCCAGACTGCCCGGTGGAAGAGAGCCTGCTCACGCTGAAACGTGAGACTGAATGGCATGCTGCACGATGCCAGACTGCCCGGTGGAAGAAAGCCTGCTCACGCTGAAACGTGAGCTCAGTCTCCAGCAACACCCGGCAGTACTGATAGGGAAGGTGCTGCGATCTTTCTGTTGCAGACGTGCCCCCGAGTGCGAAGTGGTGGTTGATGGGGAACGAAAGTTGCTGCTATCCACCACCATCCCCTCTTTTTCTTTCTCTTCTCCACCATCACAATCTTTACAGTTGTGGAAAAAAGTCCAACCACCAGTACTTCAGAAAGTGGCCGCCGCGTGCATGCCACGACCTGCTGCGATGAATGGAAATCATTGAAGTAGAAACGCCGCAACACTCTAGCAATGGCTGACTGCATGCGACGCGCGGCTTCCGGAAGTACTGGTGGTTTAAACATTTGAGTTCAAGTTATTAACAATCTCACCCACACCAGAGATTCGTTGAACAATGTCCATAAATTGTTATTCAATCATCATCATCATCAGCAGCAGCACCAGCAGCAGCAGCAGCAGGAATAGCAATCAGGGTTGTCACGCGGGGATCCCCGGGGCCCAAGCTGGGGTAGGGCTTTCACCTCCGAACC